TAAGAATGTAATATCAGAGTTTCACTTTTTACACTGTTTCGGTGACTGAAGATCTTGTACAAAAGTATGAAACTACACTGTTAGTGGTATTCATGAAAACAAATCGTAAAAGTCTTCACGCAAGATATATAGCGTCAAATTTTAAGAAAAAGAGCTATATAAAAATCAACGAAATAATAATACTGTCACTTTTAAATATAAGTACAATTTGAGTATACTTATATTAGTAACTTTAACACGTTTTGCATACATAACAGTCAAAACCATTACAGGGACAAAATATACTCTAGGAAAGGATAATGCAACGGATATCATCAGCACGTAAAATGTGTTTCTAAAGCACTTCAAGGTTCAAATAGCAATTGATTTCTATTACAAATTTCAAAAGATATAACTTTAAAATATTAATGTTTATTTTAATATGGCACAGGTCTTTTTTGGCATGATGCAATTCGACGATGAAATATTTAAAAAAGTGGATAGTTCGTTTATCTGCGTTCCATGATTGTCATTGCCATGAGTAATTGCAACACAGGAACATGTTGCAGCTAATCTCAACTTCGTTTGCTACACAAAAAAAATACAATGAAACAAGCTGTAAACAATAATTCCAGACGACAAAAACATGATAAATAATTAAAATCAAATACTTTACAGCCGCCACATTGAAGTTATGATTCAATTAATCAAAGGGATCCTACGAGAGCAGGCTTAATTAAACAGAACATTACATTATTATTTTAAATTATAACCACTTTCATATCAATATTTTAAAATTCAATTATAAATGTTCATCAGAATAGACTGAGGATTCTGATAATGTTGTTGCTATTAATACAAAAAACTATATGATCATTGTGATGATAACAATGATATTGTTGTTGTTGCTGTTGTTTTTGACGACGGCGACGACAACGACGACGATGATGATGATGATAATGATGATGATTGGGGATATTTTCTTTAAAGATAATAAAGGGCCCCGTTATTGTGGGGTAAAAAGATGGCAATGAAAAATAAAGTCGATGCGTTACAGTAGTATAAATTTTAAACTTTTTCCCTATTTTGAGACAAAAATCAATAGCAATTATTATCTACAATCTGGACCCGTTGGCTCTTTGATATTAGTAATTCATTGAAATTCATTTTATGCTTAAATACATCAAAACTCAATATGGATTCTTTTTATTAGCTTATGAAAATATTTATTGATTTACTTTGTAACACTGAATGAAACTGACTATACTTTTTCGAAGTAGCTGTATTAACATGATTCAAATCGTTTTTGCCCATAGACAATAACGCTTTAACGCTTTAAGCGTTTATTTTATTGTCTGGAGTCAAGAATTTTTTTATCCAAATAATATTTGGATTTATCAGCGGCAAATAAAGGCATAATTTGTAATTTAGCAATAAAGTTAGAATATATATAAAGATTTATACAAATAATAACATTAATATTAAAGAAGCAATTACAAACTCCATGATTTCATTTATTAAGATCGCTTTCAAGGTTTGTTGTGCATATCATCAGCCGAATATTTTAATCAACAATAATAAACATATAAAATGGCGTAAAGTCATAAAAATGAGGCAGATTGTTGTTATTTCTTAAATATTTATTTATGTCAGCACTGCTCGTTTTAATATACAAATTTATACATCTTTAGAGTATAGACTAACTATAACATTCAGATCTTTAAACATTTATTTAGTAATTGATTATTGTTTAGATAATTATGTTGACTGGTGACAGTTATTTTTTTTAATTATTAGACAGTTAAATCAGTGCATTTTAAACACAAGATATCCTTATTGTGAAAACATGTCTAAAATATGATTAAAATCCCTATGTTGTTATATTTAATACTTGAAGAAGACAACGACAATTTTCATGTATATTGTGGAATTAAATGCAAGTATTTATGTCTTATATACCAATAAAATTTTATTTGTACGCATCTTTTGTTGTTCATTTATTATGTTCGATTGATTAATTGAAACAAGTGTGTTATAAACGGTACTTTTTCTATGACTGGCGTATGGCCAAAGTTGAATAGTTGTCGTCTGTCACTATATCCTAATTTCGATTTTTGAACTCATTGCATATTCGTAGCAAATGTTCAGTCTCCTACAATTTGAGGTTGGACTGTATGTCTTTGAGGCATTTACCATTTTTTCTCTTTAAGTTGAACAAAACGTGCAGTAATGTAAACAAATATTCTGTATCAGTGACCGACAGCGAATTTGTAATCAATTTACATGTACTTAATTATACACAGAGTTTTTTTTCTAATTATTTTTATATACTGGAATTTGTGCCATACATTTCATCATTTTAACTTTTGAAAACTAAAAGCTGATTTATTAGAAATTGTTTCGCCATTTATTTACGCAATCGATGATGTTGATTGATTTGCAAATAGTGTTTACACTTATAAATGCGTTGTAAAATCACGAACCATTAATCAAAAAGGTTCATTCATTTCAAATTTTCATCGATAATTAATTTTCAAAATCAAATGATAAATCAAGTAATTATTAGATTGAAAAGATATGACATGAGGGTCTTTCTTACAGAATATAAGGCTTATAAGATTTAGCGTGATATTCTCATTTTTTGACCGTCGATTTCTTCTTTCTGTATAATAATAAACCATCTTAAAAAGCATCATCTTCTCGACCCAACCATTTTAAACACCATTTGTCTGATTCCGTTTCAGATTCGAGTTTGTATAAGTTTAGAGAGTCTTTCTTACACATTACCGAGTCAAAAGCTCTTACCCAATCAATGCAACAACAGTTGCTGCTGGAACTCGTTTCATTTAGCCAATAGTGATTCCTGTTGGTATCTTAATATTTTATCTTACTGGAGTGAAGATGGGTATCATAACTACACTAGATTAGTCGAAAACAAGGTTATTAGTGTTTGAAAACAAGGTTATTGGTGATACATACTTATATTAAACAAACAAAGCTATTTTGTTACTGCACAAGGCTCATTTGTTCGCGAAATGTCATTAGATATAAGAAAAAATGCTTTAATATCCATTCCTGGTATAGATTGATTTCTGATGTTTAAATATGCAGTATTCATTCAATGACTGGAATGCATTTACTACCATCATGCTATGATCACCTCATGTGACGAAGTGAAATATAACATACTATAACATAATACAGAATGGAGATACTTACATCTGGAAAACTCCATTGACAGCTTGAAATTTAAGTTCTTTATTCCTAATAAAATATTCATATTATTAATGTATTGGAAATAATGTCATATTTTGAAATAGGACGTGGTAAAAAAATCTGAAAACAAAGTGATCCCTGGAAGAATTAATCACAACAAAATTATATGAACATTGCAGAATCGGTTTGATTGAGTCTGTTGTAACACGAATTTATTTCAGAGGTTTTTGAAGAATGAATTGTAATTGTTTATGGTATCAAAGTATTTTCCTTTTTGTTTTTTTTGTCTGTTTCATGTTGTTTGAGCATTTCTTTTGTTTCTATGTTAAACATATACGACAATGGCGATGCAACATTTTTTCGACATTTATTAAGAAAGGGGGAAATATGTTATAGGGTACAACAATATATCTGTTTTTATTTCAGGTATGCCTTAACAATACCTAAATAAGAGACACTCAATTTATTCACATTGTGTATTAAATCATGCTGCGTTAATTTACTTAAATATAATTTGAACACCTGAATGAAGTCATCAGTCTAAATAGTAGTCCTATTGATAGTAAGGATGACAGAAATTCGTCTTACTTTCTTAATTATAGTACGTCTTTTACTTCACTTGCTTCAATTGACCTCTTCTCTATTATCAATTAATCGGTAACGTATCACATCAATTTCCAATCATCCGCCATATTTAAAAACGTAATAAGAATCAAAACCTTATTGTGCTGAATATTGTATAAATATTGATATATGTATAGGTAGTAATGTGTATCAATCTGTAATATGATGATTGTATTTCTTGAGAGTTTTGTATTTTGCTAATTCTGTAATTCTGTAATGTCGATATTTATAAATTATACATTTGTGTGACCTTAAATGAATCGTCTCTTACAGGACTGTATATGTCGTGAAATATATTCACTTGTCTGGTTACACGAGTTATATTATTTGAGATCCTCTGTAATAAAGGCATGGTCAGCGACAAATGATTGTTTTATGTTGTTTCACAACTTGGTATTATATTAACCATTAATCAATACAACATCAAACGTACGTGCATGTATGGTATCAAGTTAAAAGGAAATGCATTCAGTATGCATAGGAAAAAAAGCATGCATTTGTATTATGTAAATAATTAAGATACCTGTCGATCAGAATCAATTGTGAAATGTCGTTGACATTTAAACGAGAATAATTTAAATTTAGTAACAGGCCACTGGTGTTGATGACTTAATGAAATGGCATCTGTTATTATTTTTTAAATTAAATTAGTTTTCAAGTTTTATCTAAAATTTAGTTTCCACTGTCTAAAATGTATTAATAAAAATTTTTAAGTTGACAATTTCAACCACCATTCTCATGCATTATTCAAGTTACTTTACTCTACCATCTAGTATAATTTCTATTATGTTTGACATAGAGATCGGACAGTACAAACGCATTAAATCAAAATTTTTAGATCGATAAAAGCAATGAAAGATATATGTCTTGTTTTTAAATTACAATTTTAATTAAATGCTATCATTTTATAATCATCACATTTCGGGCATTTATTATTCAACTGAAAATGAAACGTTATAAAAATCTATTTGTGCAGAAGTTCTGGGTTGGCATCAAATATCAAGAGTCCCCTGTTTAACATAGTTTGCATTTTATGTGAATCTGTTTTTGTTTTGGAATAATGTTTAATAATTCTTTTGAATACTGACGCACACACGTCGTTATGCATCAACATTGAACAATGATTTAGTATTAGCCACAGACATTTTCATTACATTCAGCTTCAGCATCGGACATGCTTGGAATACATTGTGATCAAGATGTGATTTTTGAATTGTTAAAATGGTTTTGAGAATGATGAAATGCGAGTTTATTTTATTGCTTGTTCTTGAAACAGTTATTGCTGTTACAGTAAAAAATGTGAAAATTAACAATTTTGAATTAGAGTATTTTGTGACCTACGAAAATTGGTGTAAATCTGATAAAGACAGATTTCAGTTTATAGTAGGTATAACTATCGAACAATGTGTGGCAGAGTGCAGTGCACGGGACCACTGCAATTCTCTTATCTATAGAAATCAAATCAACGGATGTGAGCTTTTCCTTACTTCAGAAACGGATCAGTCAAACCCCGGCGAGTGTGTTTATGTTAGAAAAGACAACATCAACGTGACGAAGGTAGGTTACACTTAGTCTGTCTATTACCCTGTTAACAGTATCCTTTTAAATTCTTCTTCAATAATATAACAATAAAACAAATGTAATAATAAATAAACTGTTTGTATTAGAAAGTGTGTTTGTATTTTACAAATGCCACCATTCTTACATGTATTGTTGGATAAAAACAATTTAACACAGTTGTCACTAGACTGGATTGATTTGTTTATGTTAAATTTATCTTAAAAAAAGTCTAAACCTTACACAATTTATATTATTATGTTTTAAACTACAGAGTAACGGTTTTATAGTTCATTTACACATTGTGCCCTTATTCGTTTGGGAAGAATTTAGATTTGTTCTGTGCGTTAGTCCATCCATTCATTTCATGCCGTGTCACATGTTCCCCTTAAGGTGCTAGAGCTTTAGTCTTTATTTCAGTCGAGCGGAGCCCATATTGTATTGGATTTAGTGTCATGAAACTTTACAGAAATTTTAGTCAGCTTTTGAAGTTGTGCTACTATCCTACTGTATGTCTGTAGACAGTTGAATGTGGGCTCGGCATCCGTGGACATATTTCTAACTATTTCTAAAATGAATGGAAGAATATACAGATACATTCTCTTGAACCTTACCTTAACTTTTCGATATAATTGTAAAGAAGAGAAGTTTTTTCACCTTGCTGTCTTAGTAAAAGGCTTTAGAACTCGTCAACGAGCATAACAATGCAATTATCCTTCATAATCCAACTTGATTTTAGACAATTTAAAAACACATGCTTTAAATGAAATTGTTAGATATACTTTTTAATGCTTTGAATAATCAATTTGTCTGATTTCAGAGTCCTTGTCAAGAAGGTTGTGACAACGGGAAGGTCTGTGAATCAGCAAGTTCCATAAAGGGAATGTGTAACATAAAAGGTAAAGATTTATCATAACACGATTATATACAAATTTTATCTCTATTTTTTCCCACTTCATTCTGATGGGTCGCTTTAAAGGGTTGGGTTGAACTTCAGAATTACACCCCCGTTTAATCCTGCTTAATCGTAAAACACGACTGGATAAGTTCGATTTACTGGAGTATATGCATCTCTTAGCTTCAGCAGGTGAGCGTAAACCCATTGTGTTGCTGTAACGTTGTAACACCTGAGGTTAGCGTACATCATATTTCCTATTTCGGCGCTATATAACTTATTGTAAATTGCGCCGTGAAACAAAACAAAACATACAAACAAATGTTCATTGTTTCTGTTGATCACTGAGTTAGCTATTTTAGTAGTGTTGGTATTTTGAAAAAAAAGGTAATATATCAGGTAGAGTATTTTCTTTGGTGAATAAAAAAATATTGAAATATATAAGGGCTAAACAATAGGTGATGCACAGCTTTACAGAAACATGCGTGACAAACTATCGAAATTAAATAGAAATGAATTCAAGTTGTATATTATGCACACAAAGCGGATGAAAACTCTCCGAATTAAGTTTCATAAACGTGAAAATTTGTGATTTACAAACCTGATAAACTTGTTAATCAAGCTTACGGTGCTCATTATCGGTATGAAATTCTAGTATGTCACGTAATAAAAATCGAGATAACAACATTTAAATCTGTTTGTGAATTTTGCAAGTTTCTTACTGTTAAATATTATGGTGACCCTTACAGTTCATTTTAAAGTTGCGAGAACTTGTACCGACAGTTTATAAAATGTCGCGGTCGCGAGATTGTATGTCGAAATTGTATAAAATGTCGCCGCTTATAGATACTATCTCTGTCGTGAAAAGCGATATTTTCGTTTGATGCATACCTTGTAAAAAGCCGCGACTTATGCGGAGAAATGTCTCTATGAAAAAGTCGCGGCTATTACTCGCCGCGATATGCTGTGAGATGATGTTGATGAGGAACTATAATTATACCTCTCAAATTGTTTGTTATGTTTTTATTTATTTTTTTATTTTACAATAATTTTTGTAATTTTTATTTTTGAATTTATATATACGATCAATATAAATTACCTTTTACTTCATAAGTTCTTGTTTTTATGATTTAAGAGTGTATCAACACCAAAGCCCCGAAAAATGGTACAGTTCTTGGGAATCAAAGGGGAGTTGGTGACAAGATTCGTTACATGTGTAATCCCGGATACGAACCAAAGAACGACGGCCAAGAACCTGTAGCTGTATGTCTTCACAGCGGACAATGGAGCCATGTGACAGAATGTGTAAAAAGTAAGAATATACATTATCATACGTTCCTAGTAAGTAACACTTTTGACCTGAGCACTGATAATATATTTTTTTTTATATATATGAACGAACGAACGAACGAACAAATTTATTTCACATAAACTTTACAGTTTCTAGTGGCTAGCCACTACATTTTACAAATTAACATATAGGTGTACATAGAACATACAATTGTGACAAATATCAATTATGTATACTAAAAGGATTAGGATATAATAATATAAGAAATTAAATTGATCTAATATTTATGGTGATGGACTATACATGTAACCATGTTTGTTTTATATCATGTCATATATCATCAGAAGTAATAAGAAACATCATGGTATCAATTCGTTTCGCTAAAATTTATAATAACATGTTTTGCGTTATAAATTATTTAATTTTAAATCAGCATAATATTAATCATACATTTTTTCGCTTGCTTTATGCTTTTTATGCCATTTAATATTCTACCAACAATTCGATTGATGTAAAAAGATACCATATGTTTCTTTTTGTTTCATATGCAAAATACAATGCCATAAAAAAGTATAAGTTATAATTAAAACACTGAGCACTTGTTGGATTACTATCATATAATATGCATTTTTCGTAGTAACATTAACTTTACTTTTTTCTTCAATGAATGTAGCATTTTTGAAAATTCGCTCGATATGAGCGATTGCTTCACTTTCTGTTGATGTTTTTTTTATTTTAAAATACTCATTCTAATCCATCGTTTGCTCACTTTCTTATACATATAGTTTTGATATATACAATCTTCTTTGTTTTAAATTATATATTTCTGAAAAATGCATTTAGGATGTGCTTTATACAATCTATAAAATTTTACATCTTTGTCATTAACAAGCATCATATTTACAAATGATATATTACAAACAATTAAATGTAAATCAGTTGTTGGATCGTAATAATCTACTCGTACGTATTTCTAGTGATTCATGTATAAATTTTGCTAACATGACAATAATTGACTTGTTTTTAAATGACAACAATTGTGTAAATTGAAACATACTTGGCTTTGTTCTAAAAAAATTCTTGATATACTTTAGTCTAATAGAATGATATGCCGGACAATTAAAAACAAAATGGAACTCGTCTTCTATTTCATTACCATTACATATTTGACATACTCTAAGATTTCTCTCTAATCTATCTCTCCCATATCTGCCGGTCTGGATTCTTAGACTATGTGCGGATATACGCAACTTTGTCAATCCGATCCGTAAGTTACGAGATGCGATATTGTTTAAATATGGTTCCATTTCTAATGTATCTTTTACATATTTATACAAATTTAAAACCTCCATATTGTTGATACTAGTTCGCCATTCTTGTGTAAATTCGTCTATCAAACGTTGCTTAAACATACTAAGAAACGCATAATCGATAGGAAGGTTTACATTTCTAGTGCTTATAACTTCATTCCATTTATATAAAAATCCATATTTAGACAATAGAGTTTTTACATTTGTAAACCAATTGGATTTACCATTTAAACAATCAATTAAGTCCGACTCAACTATAGCCTTTATAATAACATTTTCACTATGGCATAATTTGAGCCAGTATTTAACTATACTAACATATCTATTTATGTACAAGGGATATCTCCCTAACTCTCCGTAAACGGCAGTATTACATGACGACTGTCTCACTCCCAATAATATCTTACAAAATTTAATATGTAAAGTTTCTAATTGTTTTGATTTCACAAAACCCCATATTTCACATCCATAGTTTATTGTAGACTTAACAAACGAATCAAATAGTTGTAAGGCTACTTTCGGCAACGTATCGTGTTTCTTTAAATTTGCTATGAGTGAACTCATTGCTTTAAAACCTTTACCATACAAATTTTGGGTATTTAATGAAAAATTTCCTGTATAGTTAAAAGTAACACCTAAATAGTTAAAATCATTAACATTTTCAAGAATACATGCATTTTCACCGTAGAACCACTTTTCCCTATTTTTCAAGCCTCCCCGCTTTCTAAATACCATACATTTTGATTTATCTACATTTACCTGTAGTCCCCAAGTATTACAATACTCATATAATTTATTTAGTGACGATTGCAAATCAGACGGATTTGTTGCTAGAATAACCATGTCGTCAGCGAATAGTAATAATATGATACATAACTCATTTAAAGTAAGCCCACAGTTTACTCTATCTTGCAAGTATAGCTCAAGATCTTCAATAAATAAGGAGAACATAATCGGGGAAATTATCTCCCCTTGACGTAATCCGATTGCGATGTCGAAAAAATCAGAATAATTCATATTATCACATGAACGTATACACGACTTCACAGATTGATACATATTTCTAATAATGCGTAGAATTTTTCCGTTTAATCCCATATTATGAAGCTTATACCAAAGAGAATTTCTACAAATAGAGTCAAAACAGCGTTTCATATCAATAAAACAACAATACAAACGTTTGTTTTCGTTAATAAACTTCTGTATCAATGAGTTCAACACAAACACTGCATCAATAGTGGACCGGCCTTTGCGGAACCCAAATTGAGCGTCAGATACAATATTATTGTTCTCGGACCACTTATTTATACGCTCATTTAAAACCGATGTAAATAGTTTACCTAAATTGCTTAACAAAGTAATTCCTCTGTAATTTGTGACGTCATCTTTATCGCCCTTTTTATGTAATGGTATTATGATGCCTTTTGTCCATGCAGCTGGGAAGTAACCAGTATTTAAAATTTTATTAAACAATACAGTTATGTAACCGGACAAAATATCACATGCTTCTATAAAGTACTCATTTAACAACTGGTCCTCACCAGCCGCTTTATGTTTGTTTAAACGTTTGATTGCATTGCGCACTTCTGTAAAAGTAATTTGTTCGTCTAATTCCGGATACACAGGTATAACATTATCAAAATCATGGTTGACATTGAAATTGTCAGCATCTGTATGAATATTAGCATTGACGTCAGAATACATGTTTTCAAAATACGTTTTGAACTCATCAACAGGGATATTATTGGCACTTTTAGGTTGCTTATTTTTGAAATACCTCCAAAATTCACGAGGTTTACATTTTTTAAGATTTTCAAAGTCTCTCGTTAATTTTAAATTATAGGATCTACATTTTCTTTTTAACAATTTTTTATATATTTTCTTACATCGACATAACTCTATTCTATTTTCCTCACTGTGTGTCCTATTAAACTGGTATAATGCGTTTTTATATGTTATTTTTGCAATTTTACAATCATTATCGAACCATTTAGAACTGTCGTCTTTGCTGTTATTTACAAACTGTTGTCCTGTATAAACGGTTCTCCGAAAAAGTGGGTCTGCAACGTTACGTATAATGTTTGTAAAAGAGTTCACCATTCTGTTTACGGAAGCTTGATCCTCTCCCGACTCGTCTAACAAATTATCAAAGTTTAACAGATTGCTTATCAGGCCTGCGCGATATGTTTCCTTTTCTTCATTACGCCATTGTATGTGTTCTGTTCGAGAAGTGAAATTGACTTTCTGTAACTTACTGGTATTTAATTCGAAACTAATCGGTGTATGGTCACTAAACGTATTGAAATCATGTATTTTAAAATCATCTATTATGTTAAAATTAATTTCCTTTAACAGTAAATAATCGATCACACTGGAACCATTCCGATTATAACATGTGAATGCGCCTTTACCACAGTCGCTCCCTAAACGCCCGTTTGCAATTCTGAGTAATGTCCCCTTGCATAGATCGAGTAACTTATTTCCCTGCACATTACTTACACTATCGCATGAAAATCTCTGTATTGGTGTATCTGTACAATAATCGTCTTCGTCTATTTCTGGTACAAACCTATCATACAATATATAATCAGATTTGCATGCCGTCCGCGCATTGCAGTCTCCTGTTACTAGTACTGTCCCTTTAGATTCAAATAAATGTATATCATTTTGTAAACACTCAAATAAATCATCATCGATAATGTTTGTAATAGGAGATACATCACTCCACATATATACTCCTGCAATATATATATCATCTACGGTTCCAAAGAAGTTCCTGTCAAGTTTCATCCAAACGATTGTATCATGCCTGTTTTTCACTATTGAAAGTCCCTCTTTTATTTCGTTTCTCACATAAATGACTATTCCCCCACTGTTTCTCTTAGCATTAGATAATATTGATGTTAGATATTCTGGTGACCGGTACTTTTTCTTTTATATAGTACATGTAAATTGAAAATGAATTTCACATTTAAATAAAATGAGATCGAGGGTTTTATTTTATTAAATAATAATTCTGTTTGTGCTTTAATACAATATAAAATACAAAGGATTGTAATCAAAACTTTAGAAATGACATTTTAAATGATGTGAATTATATAAAGAGAAGTAAGTGGCGTCTATTCTGAACACATTCCATTGTAAACTCATGTAAAAAGAACAAAAAACCAAAACAAAAATGTTAAAATGTGATCAGAATCACGCATTATTAAGATGTGCATGTATATTAAAAAGGGTTAGTTTCATAATTATTCAGTACAGAAATAACGAAATTTCATTTAAAAACTGATTTAATTCACAATCATCATTGGTTTAAAGCTAACTATACTTGGGCGGATTCATGGTCACCATGGAGCACATGCAGTTTAAGTTGTGAGTCCGGACAAAAATCAAGAACGAGGGAGTGCTCTCTTCGCATAGAAGGCAACGGTACATCTAATTGTGATAAAGGGGATGTTGATGTTGATACTATTACTTGTAATAACCAATCCTGTCCTAGTAAGTAATAGCTCTTGATATTTAATATTTCATTCCTTAATACAGTACAATCATTTTCAGGAATGTTTTTATGTTTTGTTCGTTTTTACTTTTTCTTCTTTCTTTTCATTTTTTTTAAATTTGTATCTTGAGAGCGTCCAGTGATACACAGGCTAAATAACACTTATTTATTTTGTAAGGTTCTTTAGTAAGCATGTGTAACAATATGCCTTTAAAGTTACATCTGATATTATTGTTATTGTTGTTATTGGTTTTAAGATTCTACTGATCGTACTCTAGAAGATATATTGATAAATTTCTGGATTATAGGAACGCCTCCTTACTAGTGATTGGTTAATTGATTTCTGCGTTAATATTATCGATACACAGTCCTCCCCTGGGGGGGAGAAGAGATAGAGAGATTGGGATTAGAAAAGATCATAATAATAAAAAAAATAAAAAAATAAATGGCCTGGGGTGTTGTAGTATTTATGGAAATAAACTTAGAAATGACTTTGTAGTTGTTGTTTAACTCATCATGTTACACATGGGTATTATCCTCCTTATATGATCCATACGTTTCCGTCTGAGGTATAGGTCTGCATATTATTTACAGACCCGGGTGGCGGGTTAAAGACCAAGGAGCGTAGTGATCGAGGTTTTTAAAGGCCACCCAAGTCTTTAGATACTTTGCAAACCTATTCCGAGTGAGGTAACTGTCTGACGTACATACTCTTTTGTTTTTCTATATCAGCATTTATTCGTATTAATCACATTCTACCTGTAATTTATGTACTTTATCATCAATCCGATCTTCCTGGGCTGCTAATAAATCAAAGCAGCTTTGAATCTAAGAACTTAAATTTTGAATTCTCAATACTAGTTTATCCTCTTGGGAAGTTGATGCCTTTTAATTGACATGTTAATTTGTATAAGTCTAGACAATAAAATTTCTTTACTGCTGTGTTATATCGGATACATTTTACGAACTACTAAATTTCTTCAAACATTTGCACAATACTACAAGATTTTTTAAATTTTACAATTCTGCATTTAATTTACGAGATATAAATGGTGATAATTGGTGCACATCGACTCAAAATAAAAAAAAATCGCCACATTTCTTTCCCAAAGTATTATGTTCAGTAACAGTATAGTTTGTGTTTCGTATACGGCATTTTCTCTCAAAACTGTTTCAGTTGTTTTACCAGAAAAAAAAAAACATTATAATTTGAAAAGTACCAGACATCAACTCTGATCATCAATTTTTGATGCTATTACCTGTTTACAAAGAATATATTTACATGTGTATACATAATATAACATTTTAAAACAATAACGCTGAAATTTTCTTACAAATGTATACTTAAACATAGATTCCTATCCTAAAACTGGAGTATTTTTTTCTTTGTTTATATATATATTATACTGTATATATATTACAAAAAGTAATACTCTGACCCTTTTCCCATGTTTATAATATAAGTACTTTAAAAAAAGAAAGAAAACAACAAAGAGAATAACAAAGGAAACGTGCAATAAAGCAATAAAATTTATCTACATTTACATTTGCTCATAGAAACCTGTCACGTATTTCCCATTGAAAATAAATGTTTATTTGATATTACAAAATAAACCTGATTACCTGTTTACCATGAATTTTACTATATATAAGATAATGTATTCCATATTTTGAATAGGAAAACTTAGTAAGTTATAGTACACATTTTTCAACAAATTTATATCAAGGACTTGAAATAAAAAATCTCGTCATGTTCTTTTTTCATTTTCTGTGACAATTTAACAAGTATATTTACCTGACCTTAGTACGTAATGAAACCCCACAAAAAACACGAGAACTTTCAAATAACACCTACGAATTACAACAGCGTACCGGTAGGTATCTTTGAGTGGCTTTAGAATGTTTTTTTAAACATGATAAAGTTCATAAATCTTGGGTTTATTGAGATTAATACTGATACATTCTGAGTCAAAACATGATGTTTGGGTAGGGAAAACAAACAACAAAGGAACATCTAGGTAAGATAGTTACCGTCCGCATAGTATTTACAGACACGGTTGGCCTTTTTAAAACTTAATCGCTACGTTCTCTCGGTCTTCAGATCACCATCTGGATCTGTAAATACTATCCAGACCTTATTCCTCGTACAGTCACTATTACTTCCTGCAAATTACACGACAGTGCCTCAGTGAAGATTTTATACATTTGTAGATGAGTTGTATTCGGGCATGGATAAAAAATCCGTAAATAAAATGAACAATCAGAGATAATTACAATTTTGACAGGCTGTATGAATAGTTAAAATTTCCATTGTTGACTGTATTATCTTTGTAATGTATAAGTATGATTTTTTTATGAACTTATATTACAAATATTTTGTTTTCCAAAGGTTCAAAAGTGTTTAACAAGTGTGTGGAATGTATCTTACCATCTAGAATAAGAAAACTTATTATGTTATAGTACACATTTTTCAACAAATTTATATCAAGGACTTGAAATAAAAATCTCGTCATGTTCTTTTTTCAATTTCTCTGACAATTTAACAAGTACATTTAGAGTTAATTGACACATGCATCTCCTTGTATGTTTAGGGTAAGACCAATACCTTGTGTGCAAAATTTCAGATCACACCCTTTTCCCTGAATAATTATTCTAATTGTGACAAATTACCCGAAACTAAAAAGCGTTTCAAAGCTGTTCGCCTAAATCTTACCTAGATGCTCCTTTGTTGTTTTTTTCCCTACCCAAACATCATGTTTTGACTCAGCATGTATCAGTATTAATGTCAATAAACCCAAGATTTATGAACTTTATCATGTTTAAAAAAACAATCAAACCCATACATACAAGGAAATACATGTGTCAATTAACTCTAAAGCTAAAAGTTCAATATATTAATCATTATTAAAGGCCCATACATACAAGGAGATGCATGTGTCAATTAACTTGTTCTATCTAATATGTTTAATTTATATTTAAACTGTATTGTAATATTTCTAAGCACCGACGCATGGGAAGAGTTGTTCAAGTAATACAGACTGTATAGAAACAGAAGGTGTGTGCATAGAAGAAATATGTTTCTGTCACCATCTATTTGAATACAACAACACAGTTAATAACTGTACAAAAGGTAATGAATACATGTATATGATTAAAGTTACCATAGTACTACAATAGACATATTGTATAAGTTTAAATGCATATCGTATTGCTTCAGATACCAGTATGCAAAATAAAAAAAAGCATAACACAACTTTTAACTTTTAAGCAACACTTTACAATATTAGGTTAAGCCTTTCCGATGAATATTGCCAAATTGTGCCTGAGATATTAATCATTATTAAAGGCCCATTTAGTCTCCGATATGCTTATCCCTTTTAAATTATTTTCCAAACCGTTTTTAATTTTAGTGTCTTGTTACAGTTCGATAATATTACTAGTTGGCCGTATTGCTGAGCCATCATTTGCATTTTAACAGCAGTACAGTGTTAAAGCATTTTGTATGAAAGGGCAATTTTATTGAATTTAGATTGTTCTACCTATATCACATATTAGTTCATTTAGTAATGGTTTAAGGTGATAAGCATCATTCAAAATTTTATTGCATCATTTTAAAGCATACATGTATGTTTTTACTCTTTCAACCGAAAGAAAAAATTGCAACTTCTGAGTAGTTTTCATGTGCCCTTAAAGTTAAACGATTATGTTTTTGAATAGGGTCAGTCAGCTGTAAAACGTTGCCCTGTACTTCACTTAAGTGTTGTTATATTTCTAGTCCTGCGAGATCATTGATTACAAGACCTTTAATTGTTGAAAATTGAGTACCGAACAAGCCGGTGGTAGGGGCTTGAGGGATGTTGCACCTTTTATTATTCCTCATGTAGAGACTCGATCAAAACGAGTATGCAATGGTCATAAAATTTTGTTGTGATTACTGCTTCTGAAGATTTTCCAAGATTTTTATTTTATTAAAAAAAATGATTGTGTGTGCATTATTTTTACAACGATACTATAGTTATGTGAAAACATCCAGAAATATTTGATTCCAATAGTCTTGGTTATGCCTAAATTTTTTAAAGCTTATGAAGCTTAACTTCTATATTTAAGTTAAACCTTTCTATGCTATAAGTATTCTGTTGTTTTTTTTTGCTCATGAAATATATAAGTACTATATATTAGAGATCATTTTAAATTTCAGTATGCCACACTTTGACAGGCAGCTATAGTAAAATCAGTAACACAGCAATTTCCGGTTTTAACAGTGGAAACGATAAGGTGTATGACAGTCTGGAAGATTGTAAAAAAGCCTGTAATGACAACCCTATCTGCTTATCCTTCGAAATTTGGCCAGACGGGGTTAAATTTAAATGTACAACAGGTTTGGTAACACATGATATGATACATTCAACTGTTCCTACACTGATCAAACATGATGGAAGCTATGAACTGTATTCCAAAACATGTTCCTGACTTATATGTATAGATATAAAAAATGAAATATGTGAAGAAAGTATCTAAAAAATGAAATAAATTCATTTGGTTTGAAATTAAACTTTTAAAACTTTGAAATTGAAAATAAAACGAATAAAGGTAGTTATAGTTTACTCATATATCAAGTGGCATGGTACCTTACATATTTAAAGTGGGAACTCACAACTAAAGACACAATTCAAACGACAACATTTTAATATTGGCCACATTTCATAAAATTCAAATATTTTGTAACTTAAAGTGCTTTTAGAATAATTACATAAAAACTACTTACAGTAAACACTAAAACTACTTACATACATGTATAATTTTATGCAAAATATTTGATTACATTGTGTGAGATAATATGATGCTTTATTTGAAACAAAAAGAGCTAAATGATAAATAAGATTTCCTTGTATGTCAGTTAAACATAAAATGGATCATATTTGATAAAATAGTTTTACCAATTCTTAACTATGATGGGAATACTTGATAGTCATGTTTTAGAAAATATAAATTTAAAGTATTGTAAGAAGTTGTTGGGAGTTAAAAGCAAGTATGTCTATGGTGAACTTGAAAGGTCATCTTTAATATTAAAGTTATAAGTTATAAGTTGTTCAGTAAAGTAGTACAGTCTGTCAAAGCTATGTATGATCTTATTTGTAGAGATTTAGAACTAAAACCAAATCCAATGTCCTGGGCTAAGTCTGTTTATACGTTTTTGTAACAATCTTTAGGTTGTTTTAAGTATGGATTAATAAGTGTGTGGGAGAGATAAATAAATGATTAACAGATACATTTATGCAAAAATAATTTGCAGCACTAAGAGATTCATGAAGAGCAAGAAGTTATGTACTATTTTGTGATTTTGGTTTTAAATCATATCTGTCAATGGTTAAAAATGAAAAAGTTTAGGAAATTTCTATCACGTTTTAAGACTTCTGTGCATAGATTAAAAGTAAAAACTGGTAAACCTGATGCTATTCCTTAAATGAAAGAAAATGTAATAATTGCCTCAAATTAGAAGATGAGGTTCGTGCATTATAAGAAAACAGCTTATAGATAAACATTTCTGAAAAATACCAAAATTTATCGAATTGTTAACATATCACAATTGAAATATGATGATAAGAAAATTATCATTGTTTATCTTTAAAATAATTGAATTTGTGTATGTATGTATGTATGTATGTATGTATGTATGTATGTATGTATGTATGTATGGATGGATGGATGGATGGATGTATGTATGTATTCAAACACTTCAAATAAAATAACTCACTGCAGAAAATATTAATATAAAAGTATTTTCATTTGATAGATAACTGTTTCTAGACTTAACGTCTACACTGGCACATAACTGCAGGATAGTGTCATTCAAGTCGAAAATATTGGCCTTTATTAACCTTGCAACGGACATCAGTGTATCATACAACAATGTATGTTAATGTAAAATGGAAATTAAGATAATATTATCGACAGTTCAAATATTTTCCTATATTACCAAGTTCTTGAAAAACACGACAACGTGGATTCATTTCTTTAAATTTTCATGCTTGAAACCGCGTGGTATGTCCACCTTACTGTTAGTACTGTTGTTAATATTTTAGCATAGTAAATGTCAACTACAACGAGATTTCCAACATGAAGATATTTGAACTGTCGATAATATTATCTTAATTTTCATTTTATATTAACATTTATTGTTTTATGATACACTGATGTCCACAGATCTTGTCAGTTGCAAGGTTAATAGTCGCCCCTTTATTACATCTATTTAGTATCTTATAATATGCAGCATTAACGCCGACTAAATAAATTTCAGCCTTTATATGTCATAAAGCGATGAACGTTATTACCTCGAGAAAATAATGTCATATGCTAGCAAATGAATATCCACTTACTGAAGTTATATCTTTAATATGCAAATGACGTTATGTCTTGTATAGGGAGTAAATTATGCGCTGCTAAACTTTAAATACATATGGTATTGTATGCATGTAACTGACAGACACAACAGATCAAGCGCACATGCATGAATATAGAAAAAAATGAATTTTTTCATGTTATTGCTCTGTTTATAGTGCTATTTAGTCGTACTGAATCATCACATTTTGTATTGTAATTGCGTATTGCAAAAAAGCTTTTTCGATGCACATATCGCATTAATAATTTTTCTATCTTGAGAAATTCCGACTAAAAGGGCGCAAAGAATAGAGAAATTGACTTTGATTTTCTGTCAGAATGTTAGTCACTTTCATGGTATTTCTGCTATCGACGGAAGCATTTAAAATAAGTATCTGCCTACAACGGCAGCATTTTTTCTTTGACCGGACCAGATTGAACGTCTGTAAAACTTTAAAGAAAAGACTCCCGGGGTAGGCTTGCCTGACCCCAATAGATAAACGTCTATATTAATAACACGAAATCCTGCCATTTAGTTAAAACTTGAGACATTTTGAACAAAAATCAGACATTTTCACGGATGTTTTCGAAGCTGACACTTTTAACCTGCTCAAAATAGTCTAAAAACAGGAAAAACGAGTCCAAAATTACCTAATAGTATCTCCAGTCAATGGACAATAGTTTCCTAGCAATGAAATGGGCCGTATTTGTGTAATATAAAATACCAACCAAATTTATAACCTACCTGTACTGAGCGGTAAATTTCAGCTATCTGCCATCACTGCAAGGATTTGCCATCACTGGCGCCGGTAATACGGCGTGTTTAATAGTGTGAAAATTTTTATTCTATCGAAGACACCACCACAAACAACATATAATTTGATTCGTACTTAAGTATCAATAGATTTTTCCTCTATGTATTTCGTTTATATGATGAATGCCAATTTAGACTCAAATATGATTAATTTACTCTTAAATCTGAGGCACCATTGCAAATACCGTAAACAACAATATTTAAGATTACAAGTAACAATCGTTCGTTTAAATTCCTTTGTAGAATTAAGTTTTAATGCAGTTGACATAGCATCTAGACAAAACTGTAAAATATGTTTCTGGATGATGTGGTCTTGTTTATGTAATAGTACCTTACAATGACGAATTCATCATGTACACTTTAATATGTGCTTCATTAATATGCAAAGATACATGTATAAGAATCATAACATTCAAATCAATTGAACTCATAAATTCTAATATAAGATAATGAACCCTGAAAATAATCTTCTTATAGTACCAGATGATTTCGGAGTTTTAATATTGTGTCTTTCGGAATTGTAATGCGCATGCGTTTCCAGAATTGTGAGCGTTATTGGTGATCTCGTTATTTTATACAAAACATAAAAAATGCCATCTACATCATAGTTAATATTTATGCTCAATAAGCTGCTCATGACTTACAATTTTAAAAAGCAGTGTAAACTGTTGTAAAATGTTACATGGGAGGAAGCACGATTCACATGTCTAAAATTATTCGGAAATTCAACTAGAAAAAATCCCATCCAAATCATCCCCATCCTTGGATGGATCAATAACTAAATGGAATATATTTTAACATTAAGTCTTTTTATGGCAACCACGTAATGCGAAATATCCTGAGACCGTACATATATTCCATGGAATTATTTAATGTCTGTTGGTGTAATAGTCAAGGTAAATCTACTTTACATGAAACTAGTTGCAGTCAAAGTAAATATTGATTATGTTGGATTTAGAACGACGCAGACATTTTCCCTTTTTACATGTTTTTTTTTCATATTTCAAACTATGAGGTTACTATGCTCAAGAAAAGTAAGTATTATAATGTTACTATTAAGGAGAAAATAATTATATATTTTAAGTGGTGTGTAGTGAGATCA